GTGGGGGGGGGCGGAGAAAATGTTGCGAAAATGAGGTACTAAGTTGCCATGACAACTCGAATTTACGCAGCCTTAAACAACCTTTGCAATGGCAACGCCTTGCAATCGAAAATGCAATGATAGTGTGTTTAAATATGACCCAGAGAGGTATTAACTTACCAGTTCAATTTTATACCACTAAAAAGTATGATTAAGAAATTGAAAGAAGTAGCACTATTTTCTATTGTACTATTTTCTTATCCTTCGAATTATGGAGATCTTGCACTATGCCGACTGTGAACTCGCTAATCTAAATCATTCGGTTTTAGACCTACCACAAATAAAGAATCTCCCTGTACCACACATGACTCATTTCTGTGCTTATCGATTATTTATCGATTTCCGCGTTATCTAGAGAGCCCAGCAGTGCCTCGGCAATCTCGCTTCTAGTCACCTGTTCTATTCAAGAAAGACAAAACTTCCCCCTTCCTTCTCCTCTGTTTTAAAGAAATTTTTCGTAACTCTGTTAAAGGGTTTCAAAAAGTTCTGAAAGGTAATGGGTACAATAGCTTACATCCCCTCATAATTTGGTATGATTGAATTTATGGATTTCTTTTAATTTTAAATAAACACGTACAAAACTAATGTCCAATGCAATATAAATAGCAAAATTATCTCCAAGATCAACCTCTATTGATCAGTGAAGAAGCAGAGCGAAACCTAATTTTTTAACATTGGTATCTAAATAGTAAAAAAATTTTCGAGAAAGAATTTTCTACTTCAGAGGTGCATAAAATATAAGAAAATCTCCTTAAAGTGATGGGTTCGAAACCGACTTACATTAGCATAGCCCTTGCTTTGAAAGTGAGGTAAATTCTTGTAGGCCTCCCGAATTCCACCCAATTCCTTTGTCATCTTTGCAAGTTCTCGCCTGACTCGAAGGAAATAGCCGACTCGTTTGCGTACCAACCAACCACGAAGGTAGCGTTGAATTGTAAGCGCGCTTTTCTGTCTCAAGACAATCTTCTTATGCACTAATTAAATTGAAAGGAAAATAAAGAGCGCAAAAATGAAGAGGATTAATGAGAAGTGAAGGGGGGGGGGTATGTGTGTTGGGAGGGGGAGGGGGGGGTAATGATTTGGTTAATGAAATGGAAGAGAGCTATGGGAAAGCCTTAGATCTATCAATAAAGTAGACTTTTTTTGAACCGAAAATTGAGATCAATTTGAGGTAAGTTTTTCTCATGCAGGGGTCTTCAAAATCATGAAGTTTGAATGGCATGATGACTGCTATCAAAATAAAATTTAACTTAGAAAAGTTGCTTTTTTAGAGCATAAAGGCACTAAGAGGGAGGGGGGGGGGAACAGAGCACGATTCACTGAATCTTTTGTGTTCTTGTGGCTTCTGTGCCAGAGCGGCAACTGTCAGACCTACCTACCTGCCTTGATTTGACCATCGATTCATTAAACTCTATTATCGATTTTTCCTACCATTTATTTTTATTGAAGCCCTCCATTGCCTTCAACACTCCCAATCACATTTTCAGATTAAATTCCCAATGGCTTCGAATAACTTGAACTCAACAATATCATCACGGTGGACTGCGTGCTGACGCCTATATGACTAAATTTATTTAATTAATGGCAAAACAGCTGCTTGATCGATTAGTCTTCGCTTTTCTCTTGAGAAGGTGTAACATTTTGCCATCAAGATGAAAAACAACATTCTACTTCTGATCCAGGCTGTACTTCCAGATTCTACTAAGCCATTTGATTGAACCCTTTAACGCCCTGCAGGACCTTACGGTCCTCTTTCAAAATAAGCTCCATCGGTACTAGACTCGTAACAGAAGGCGACATTGTCGTTTGAACCATGTTCAACACGTCTATAGTCTTCGCCTGATATCACCAAAACTCATCACCTCGGCGGTATCAGTTTGCTATGAGACAACCGTGGGTGCAGGTGGGTGCGTTTTCCAAGAAATAAATCGCCCGTTAAAGGTTAAAAATAGGGTAAATTAGTTTCTATTTAATTTTACTTGTCCTCTAAATTCCCAGTTGTGTTTAGTTTTCCAAACAGAAAGGCAAAATCCAACTTTCAGAGTTAAATTGACATTACGAAAAAATTTTGGATCTCATCGGTATTACTCAAGTGACAATTAATCAGCGCTTTAATTAATACAATTACATCTGAAAATTAAGCAAATACTTTCCCACCAAATCAGTAGATAAGAGGGGTAAGCAATAAGATAAAGCGAGGCGTTCTTGATAAATGGGGTGCCGTAAATTGGGAAGCAAAAATGCAAAATCATATTGTCCTGTAAGTGGAATTCACGTATTGAACTGCCTCCTTCGTTGAGCGTGTTTTCGTTACATTCCATACTTTCGGGGTTATGCATCGTTTGTTGCTTCCCAAACAGACCCCTGTTTGACGTATAAAACTACAGCCCTCTCTGGGGAAGTGTAGACACGGCCTACATCAGTAGGTAAACAGGAGTTTCTCTTGTTTCAACTACAATCCATTTCCCACTTAGTTTCTGAGGCGCAGGAATGCTTGGAGAGGCAAAGTTATTTTCGAGAACAGAAAAACTTACACTTTAATTGATTCTTACAAAATTATGATTGTTTTGTCGTAATAAGTTCTCATCGAAAAATGGAGCATTAATGCTTCGAATTTCTATTGGTGGATTTTTTAAATAGCATATCCAAAATTGATTCGAAAAAATGAAGGCACCATTGAAATTTGGCCTTCAAGTAATTTAATGTTAAAAAAAACAAAATATCAGATGGAACTTGTTCTCAAACATATTAATTCAATTTACTCCAAAATTCCTGGTTAATTACGCTTTTCGTAAAATGCCAACATCCAGTATGGCTTTCAATTGAAGACTCTATGGCAACCACGCGCGTGTTTATGTGAAATCAAAGAATTTCGAAAATTGGCTTACAATTTGAATATGAAACAGATAATTATAAGGGCTTTGTATAATTAAAACCTAATCACAACGGACAATTTGATTGATTGTCCCCTAGGAATTTATAAAATATGTCCAATTTGAAAGAGCCTACTCAAATACTTATCTTATTTAACCAAAAATGAATTTCATTTAGCACTCTTTGTGAAGAACATGGGACAACGAAACTTTGATTGTTCATTTGAATAGAGCCTTTATGTAAGATATTTTGTCATCGAATAGAAATGTATTCAGACCACTTTCACATCTCTTTAACTGAAATAATCAAATGAAAGAGATATCCGGAGTATGGAAGATTTTCAACTTAAAAATTTTGATTTCCGCCATTTTGTAACCTCAAGAGGTGAGACTCGATCAGTGAGCCACATTTTAAATTAAACGCTCCATTTTTGTCTATTTTTCTCCTATGCTTTGAAAAATTGAAACAAAAGGTTAAATAAACGTACATTTAATAACGCTGAGAGCAGTATAAATGGCTCTTCGCCAACGGTAAGCCAAAATCCATTTTCGAGCAAGTTCAATCATCTTGGAAAGATTGTCCGGATCCATTCGAAGTATATCATCGAATTCGGCAAATTTTCCAGCCCGAAAGAAGACCTTTGAGACCCCAAATTTGTAATCGTCATCATTCATTCCCACCGCATGGAATAGGGCCTGGAAGGTCAAATAGAATTTATTTCAATTTCTGTGGAAAAATCAAATTGGAAAAAGTGCTCAACTTCAAACACTCGGATCAGTTGAAAATTTAATCTTATTATTCTGACGTTCCAAAGGAATGCCAGAATAATTAACATCTCCAATTAGATCAAACCGATCCCACGTCATAACAAAAGTATTTCTATTAATTTGCTCGTTGACTGTGGGGGTTCTTTGTCCTTCCTTTTTCACCTGCAATTTTTGTCCAATCACTTTTAATTTAATGCTAACCAATTAGGGCCAAAATTCGTGGATCCTTAAGTAGAAATAGTAGTGAATTTATGCGAGTCCTAGTTCTAATTCCGCCAAAAAAGTTAATCCAAATGATTTTGATCCATACATTTGGGCGTGTGAAATAAAATACAACCGCAACATTACCTTGAAGAACAATCTGGGCTCAAGGCGTTTCAATTCCTTCGGTAGGATTGGCTTGTAGGCAGAGTAGAGATTGCTGAACTGGGTCCTCGAGGGGAAACCTTGTTGCATTAGCATGAGAACATCGGTCAAACCAAAGAATCGAAGCTGAAGCAGACAAGGTGCTCCACTAAACTGGTGATCAGCCATTGACGAATTGGGTTTGACGCAGCGAATGAAGTTGGTACCCTAGGGGGGTGGGGGGAATGACATTATACCAATTACTTGCTCTCATTTTTTCCCTATTATCCGATCAACTAGCAAATTCAATTAAATAATTTATGTTGACATTATTGACTGAATCATTATAGAAGAAAAAATATTTTTATAATTATATTGACACCGAGCATCTAAACGTTGGAAATGATGTTCCCTATTCAATGATTGAAATAGAACTTGTTTTGATAATAGTTCAGAAATAAAAGCATGAGACTGTCAAAATTTAATCGGATTGAAATCTTGTCCGAGTAGTCGAAGAGTGAGAGAGGTAATGGGCTAAGGAATCAAAAATATGTCACTCAAATATCAAAATAATAAAAATATTATACTTTATTATTTGAAGGGTACGCGACAGACCTACGTACACGTGTGCAACCTGGGCAACGTAAAAAACCGGGCAGTTGACTTCTGACCCAGATTACCATCACCCCACTGTATGTCATATTCGACTACTTCCCAGTACTCACCCTACCCTACTATCTACCTTTGTGTCTGTTTGTCCCTTACCTCTATGAATCACACGTCTCTTCCCCCTCTCGACATTTTGTGACTTCGATGCTCCTCCCCTCTGTGAAGCCCGAAATCAACTAAAGGGCTAATGATAATTATAATAAAGCCTACTATTTGCTATAAATCAATAATATTGTTTGAGATTAGTCAAATTCGATTGATTCACACATACACACACACGCGAACACATTAATAATCAAATGTGATTCAACACTTTGTTCTCGAGGGCATATAAATGTAACAAAATTAAGGAAAATTATTAAAAAAATAATTTGTTGATTACTACTGCGCATTTTCATTCGGTGAGGGAAAGTTCTAGTTGAATCCGAAATAGCTCTCTTTCAAATGAACACCGATTCGATAATAAAACGCATCTTGTAACACTCACCCACTTGGTCACTTTCACATTTCCAATAGCCTATATAATGTACAATTCTATTATTTCCCAAGCATTTTGTTAATTACGGAGAAATAGAATTGAAATAGAATGGAGACACTTAGTTCATTTTAACACTATCGCGTTAACTTACGGACAATGTGAGTTTTTTAATAAGTTCATTAATCTGATCCTTGAACTTCGTTCCAACGCTGATAAAGTTGATTTTGCCAATGACATTCGACTGAATTTTCTTCACTGTCCACGATTTCGCCTCCTTGGGCTAAATGGGGAACAAAGGCTGAACAAATGCAGAAACAAAAATTCGAAAGAGTTGAAATTTTATTCAATTGCAAAACCGAAAGTACTTGAATCCATAGATGGGATATACACAAAAAATAATCACAATACGAATGAGAAGGGCAGTGGGTTGATCTCTTTGGGACTAATCTGATTAGCCCACCCCACACGCCCCGCCCCCCTCCTCTTCAATTCTATTTAGGTAAATATTTACCAACACTCATATTGGATTGAGAAGTGGTGCCAAAAGGTAGCCAATATGTGGCGTCAGAATTCCGTCATTCCCTCTAGTAGTTACTATTGGCTTGGTTGGGAGCACAGATGTATCCGCCGACCTTGAATCCGTGACCTCTAACCTTGCAGATAAATCACAAATCGAAATTATCACTGTGGTTACGAAGCTGCATGGCTTGACGATAGCCATTTAGTTATTGACTAGAAATAACCAGTACGAATGGTCATTTCTAAATTTAGGTATATATAAGCATCCATCGATCTCGATCTTGTAATCTCTCAAAGTTGGCTTCTTAAGAATCTTATAAAGCATACGCCTTGGACAAAAGGCCGTGTGTTACTTCCGGAAGTCTCATATGTTGACGTCTTATTCGGCTCTTTTCCAATGGCTATTTGATGACTTCTTTTAGTCCGACTAACAGACGAACAGTCGAGACTCTTTATTAGCGCCAAGCTCTCATCTACCTCTCTTTGGAACTTATGAGAACATGCTTGCAATTGCCATTTCAACCCCAGTAAGAACTTCCCTTAACTAATTTTCGATTATTGACTGCCTGTGTCCTGATGTTACATACGTATATTATGGGCAGTGCACAGACGTACAAACATGCGTATATATATATATATATATATATATATATATATATATATAACGGAATAAAGAGTTTACTAAGAAATATAGATTCAGGTAGTCGGAGAATATTGGTCAGAGAGATAATTACATTATGCATTTTTCGCAGTAGATCATTTGTACTGGAATGTAGAAGTTCTTCGAGAGAGTGATGTAAGGCATCGTTATTCTTGGCAATAAATTCTGTGGTTGTGTAGCATACTGGGCCGGCAAAGTGCTTGAGAAGGAAGCCCTCACTGTCTCGTAGATTCTTGAATTTTTTGTCCTTTCGTGGTACCTAGACAAATTACAATTATCCAATAACAAACACGCATACACAGTCGTAGTTTTTACTGGAAGTATATACAGTGACTGCTTTAGACACAAATTTTGAATCGATTTCCATTAACTGCTCATTAAAGTAGTCTATTTTCCTTAACATTTGAAATAGGGATCTATTTGTTAAAGAGGAAGCAAAATTCTTCCCAGAAGACTTTGTGTCTTTGCTTATTAAAGATACGACTCTTAGCAAATTTGACGGGGCCATGGATGCTTGAACTTATTATTTAATAATTAAATGGAGGCTGAAAACGCTAGCCAAATGTTCAGGCGTATTGTAAAAAGGAGCAAATGTATCTAATCATCAATGATTGAAAGACGGGGTGTGCGATAGACTTGCCTCCACGTGGTGCACCCTGAACAACGTATACTCATACGGCAAAAAAGTCTATTAACCGGCAATTGACTACTACTACTACCACGACCCCCATGGTCCTCATATTCGACCCCTTCCACAGTACTCACCTCACCTTTTTCTCTACCTTTGTGTTTGTCTGCCTCTTTTACATCTGTGAATCGCTCTTCTGTTCCCCACCCCTCGAATTTCTGCCACTTTGATGAACCTTCCCTCTGTGAAGCCCGAGGTCAGCTAAATGGCTAATGATATCTATCAAAACGCCTGCCATTTGAAATAAATAAATAATAAATAAATGATTGAAAGACCCTTAAAATTCGTTCACCTCCGCC